AGGTGCTACCATAGGATGATGGAAGAAGTCCCACGATGTCGAGGTGTACTACTTGAAAACGTCCTTTGGGTATAGGGGAGGTTTCCAAGGAGGCCCGTATTTGGCAATGTATTTTGGAGGACTGGCAGGCCAGGCACTGGGCAGCCCATTTCTTAGTATCGGACTTGATGCCGGGCCAGACGACACGTTGCGTGAGGAGGCACTGGGAGGCCCGCACACCCGGGTGGCTGAGACCATGGATGCGGTGGAAAACAGCGCGGCGGTGGACGTGAGGCACGAAAGGTCTAGGCTGCCCACAGGATACGTCACACCACAATTTTATGTTCGTGCCGGGAACAGGGAGTTCTTGGAGTGTGAGGCCTGAGGGGATGCCTTGTATGCTGCCAGGTCTTCGTCGTTCTCTTGAGCCGCGGCGAGCTGCCCATAATCAATGGGTGGAGATAAGGGAAGAATGTTGGATATACAACGAGAGAGGGCGTCGGCGATCTCGTTGTGGCTGCCTTTAATGTGTTGGACGTATCTGGAGAACTCCGAGATGTAAGCCAAGTGGCGAAGGACACGAGGTGTATGTGACTGGAAGGCTGAAGCAAAGGCGTGGACGAGGGGCTTGTGATCAGTGAAGATGGTGAACTGACGAGCCTCGAGGAAGTGCTGGAAATGTTTGACAGCCAGGTATATGGCCAGGAGTTCTCTATCAAAGGCGCTGTACTTGAGGTGTGGTTCGTGCACAAAGAAATACATCATATTCATTAACAGTATATATATATATATATATATATATATATATATATATATATATATATATATATATATATATATATATATATATATAAAAAAAATAAAAAAATATATATATATATATATATATATATATATATATATACTATATATATATATATATATATCATATATATATATATATATATATATATATATATATATATATATATATATATATATATATATATAAATATATATATATATATAAATAGTTCTGCTATAGCGATAATTGTGTTCTTGTAAAATATCGTGTTATAGAAAATCGTAATAGAAATAACAGGGCTTATGGAAAATAGGGTTAGGTGCAGTTTACTCGAAATCGAAAAAATTTAGTAGTTAGCCTAACACAAAGGATAGCACGATAATAAATGTTACATTCATATCTAATAATGATCATACAGTAAATTTAAACACTTTACCTTGAAAAAATATGAAGATTTGATGGGGGAGAAGGGTGATTTTGAGGTCGATAACATCAACTTCTCTTCAAGTGTTATATCCTTTCTTTTCTGATAATCACCGGAATTCTATCATCAGAATGCTTTGGAGATATTCTTCTTTACCATATTCACAGTTAATACCACAAAATTGGAGAAATAGTAAGCAAAAATCGCGTTATATTAAACAACGTCGCGTTATACAAATATTGTTCGAATTCATAAATCGCTTAGAGCAAATTCGTTATCAAAACCATGTGTTATAGCAGAACTCACTGTATATATATATATATATATATATATATATATATATATATATATATATATATATATATATATATATATATATATATATATATATATATACAGCTAGACCCCGACTTGACCGTCGGGACTTCGACCGCCCAGAGATTTTTATTAAAATTTTTTTTTTTTCCAAATGGCCTTTTATTTTCTATACATAAACGTTTCCAGTTAATGTAGTCTCCATGTATAATTAGAAAATTATGGGGCCCCATGTGCATTCAGCTGACTACATTAAGGTTAAGTGCTCAGTCACACTGTATCCATTCCTTATCAATGGGTGGAGATAAAGGGAAGAATGTTGATATACGAGAAGGCGTCGGCGATCTCGTTGTGGCTGCTTCTAATATGTGTTGGACGTATCTGGAGAACTCGAGATGTAAGCCAAGTGGCGAAGGACACGAGGTGTATGTGACTGGAAGGCTGAAGCAAAAGCGTGGACGAGGCTTGTGATCAGTGAAGATGGTGAACTGCGAGCCTCGAAGTGCTAAATGTTTGACAGCCAGGTATATAGCCAGGAGTTCTCTATCAAAGCGCGCTGTACTTGAGGTGTGGTTCTTAGGGCACTACTCAGTCGAGTGTCCTTACTTGTGAACTCTTGGAACAATCTACCAGAAAATGTTGTGACGGTGTGGGGTACGGGTTATTTGGTTCACACTCAGGATGGGATGGAGAAAGGAAACTCACAATGTGCTCTCTGTATACATATTATATTGGATGTACAATGCAGCTTGGTGCTGGGAAGTGGCAGCGTGGTTACAAGCGTGATGTAGAGAGAGCTGGTTGGTGAGGATGCTCAGAGGAGGACCAGCTTGTGGGTCGCCATGCTCGCCGGCAGGAGCGAGGGCCACCAGGCAGGAGGAAGAGGAGGAGGTGTTGCTTGCTGGTTGGTGTAGGTAGAAAAGAGAGGTAGGTCACCACGAGGTCAGGTCTTATATAGCGGAAGTAGGCGTGGCTTAATAGTTGACCTCCGTCATGTAAGGCAGCGCTGGTTGACCTAGACCACGAGGCATACACTGGGGAATTCGCGGGGTCTGCTACTCAGTGACAAACAGCGTTTGTAGGGGAGGAATCCACTACAATACTCCCCCTTCCCTCCAGGCAGTGTAGGAAACTTGTTGTCTGCAGGGTTGCATGGCACATGTGAGGCAGAACGGGCGGTTCATGCCACATGCGAGACATAACAGCGAGGGTGTGGATGAGCCGGCCGCTAGGGGAGACAACTGTCTAGACACACGAGATCTGTGGGAGAAGAGAGGGAGAAAAAGGGTGTGTGGGGGCGATGAATGTTGTGCTTCTGTAGCTGCAGGGGCAGCGTCCTCATGGTCACTGGCTGGGATGACTGGGTCAGGGGCGACGTCAGGAGGAGGGTCTATGATAGGAGCAGGTTCTACAACAGCAGTAGGGTCCACGACAGCAGCAGGGTGCAGGACAGTAGCAGGGAGTGCCTGTGGGAAAAAAAAAGCGGTGTGTGGGGGCGATGAATGCTGTGCTTCCCTCTCGGTAGGTACAGAGTCCTCAGATGCGCCTGCTGGGGTCGGTAGGACGTGGTGCTTGGGGCAGGAAGAGGAGCTGGTGTCTGCTTAGAGAAGCAGTGCTGCTCTAGGGTGTCTAACCTGCGGTGTAGAGACAGTAGCTGTAGAGCCGATGAGAGCTGCCTCTTTGTGGATAAGCCAGTCTTCCATGATGCTTGAAGACTGGGAGAGTGATCGGTTTCTCCTCCATCCTGTGTGAGTGCGTCACTCCGGGGGTCACCATTTGTAGCGTACGAGATGTTTGGTTCACACTCAGGATGGGATGGAGAAAGGAAACTCACAATGTGCTCTCTGTATACATGTTGTATTGGATGTACAATGCAGCTTGGTGCTGGGAAGTGGCAGCGTGGTTACAAGCGTAATGTAGAGAGAGCTGGTTGGTGAGGGTACTCAGAGGAGGACCAGCTTGTGGTTTCATGGTCGCCGGGTGAGAGCGAGACCGCCAGGCAGGAGGTGGAGGAGGCAGGTGTTGTTTGCTGCGGGTTGTAGCTAGAAGGGCTTACCACGAGGTGTGTGGGTCGCTGCGGGTCGCTGGCGGGAGTGCAGGGGCCTGTAGGGCAGGAGGAGGAGGAGGAGGTGTTGCTGCTAGCTGGTGTAGGTAGAAAGAGGTAGGTCACTACGAGGTCAGGTCTTATAGCTGGAGGTAGGCGTGGCTTAATAGTTGACCTTCCGTCATAAAGGGCGCTACGGACGTAGACCACCAGGCATACACTGTACTCCGGGGTCGGGAGAGACTTGTTGTTCGCAGGGTTGCATGGCACATGAGGCAGAACGGGCGGTGAATGCCACATGAGACATAACGTGTGAGGGCGTGATGAGCCGGCCGCTAGGGGGGGGGGGCAATTCTCTCTAGATACACGAGATCTGTGGGAGAAAAGAGGGAGAAAGAGGGTTGTGGAGGCGATGAATGTTGTGCTTCCCTCGCGACAGGTACAGAGTCCTCAGATGCGCCTGCTGGGGTGTGTGGGCCTGGGTTCAGGAGCAGGGGCTGCATCAGGAAGTGTGTCCATGACAGCAGCAGGTTGCATGACAGCAGCAGGGTCCATGACAGCAGCAGGGTGCATGACAGCAGCAGGGTCCACGACAGCAGCAGGGTGCAGGACAGTAGAGTACCTGAGGGAAAAAAAAGGGTGTGTGGGGCCGCACTCAGGTGCATGGGCCATGTCGGGAGCAGGGCTGCCAGGCAGGAGCGGAGGAGGGGATTTTCAGTTCAGACTCTTGGAAAACTCCCCAGCACAGAGAAACATTCTGAGAATGTGGGCTGGTGTTTGTCTGTGCAAGATGCATAGTTAGATATTCAGAAAGTTTTTTCCAGTAACCGGAAATATTTCCAGGGATGGGGGATTTTTCCGCTTTGGAGAAAGTCGTATGGTTAGCTGGAAATCTCTCATGCCCGGAAGTGCTCTGCACCATTTGTTCTGGCTAATGGGGATATCACTGTACTACCGCCACCTCACCACCCGCTTCCCGGCCACACGCCACCTCCCTGTTGCGCGCCTCTCCACCATCCGCCTCTACCAACCACTATTGCATCACCCTCTTCCAGCAGTGATCCTGATGATTCCCCTATGCTTCACTAACCAGATGTCTCTCTATGTACAGTGCACCACACTATCAAGCTCCAAACTCCCACATATGAATGTAAGTATTGGTGACTTGAGTTTCTCATACACAGTATAGATATATATATATTAGTGCACTAAGGTATTATATAAGTGGCTATTTGTGGTTTTTCCAATTCACACACATTTCTTGGAACCTATCCCTTGCAAATGGCAAGTGTTTACTGTAATTGAGGACTGCCTGTGAAAGGGCAATTTTGGTTGTACAGTATTTAAAAAATCAGCAAAGTTGTGAACTGGAAATTACTATCTGTGAAACTATGGGGTACAGTATACGGTACAAGAAAGCCCCTGTATGAGAAATAATTAAGAAATAGAACAACTTAAATTGTTTGTTTATTTAATTGGCATTTTCACTGGTATACAAGTTACATGAATTTGATGATAAAGGGAAACAGTGGCATACTCTCAGAATGTTTTCATAAAAAATTTATATCTGTGCAAAATATTAATCTATACAAATACTGTACTAATATCAGTCAAGCTAAACAGAGTTCCTTGTCTTTCATTCATGAAGGCTTCAAATTGCATTTTTTCCACTTCATATTGTCACTTTTCCATTTTCTTCATAAAAAAAATAAAGTATCCTGTACTTCATAATCTTGGTCCTTAATAAACACATTGTCTAACCCTAAACAGGTATGAACTTTAATGTTGTTATATTGTACACTTATTTCATTAAATTTAATATTTTTTTTTTACAAACACTACTAGCATTCTTCTTTTTAAAATCAGAATATCACATTTGTCCACACTGAGAAATAATCACTGGAATTTTTGGTTTATTGTTTGGTCCCGTTGGAACATTTTCTATTTTACGCATCACCAGGAGGCCATCAATCACTCTTCCAAACACCACGTGCTTCCCATCTAAGAAGTCACACTTGGAGCAGGTGATGAAGAACTGGCAACCATTAGTATCCTTTCCACTATTGGCCTGAGGGAATATATAAGTTTAAAATATTTTAAAATATAAATTTCATATCCTATACCATCTTGATTAAATAAGTATTGTATTAATATTCCCAGTTTGGGATAGAGGCCCTTAAGTCATACTTCACTGTACTAAATATATTTCTGAGAACTCTTATTTGAAAATTGTTCACCAATATTGCAGCTGTCTTACTGGTTTTCACTTACAAGCTAAAGTTACAGTAAGAACAGAAAGACTGTATGTAACAAAATAGGAAAAATAATTCATTCTTACCAGTGATAATAATCCAGGACCATCATGCTTAAGGATGAAATTTTCGTCTGGAAAGCTTGGACCATATATGCTCTGTGTACCTGTCCCATCACCCTACAGATTAAAGTAAAGGAAAACATTAATAACTGAAGAAATGAAATTATCTTTCAACACCAGAAAGAAGAGTCCTCCTTTGATTGTCTAGTTACTGTATCAAGTAAGATAACAAAAAGTATTCGTAGAATGTTCTTTATTCTTCTGTAGATACCCTTGTAATATACAGCATAAACACCTAGACTGAAGCTAAAATAAATAGGTTCATGCAGGTTCTTCTTCAACACCAGTCAAAACATATTTCTGCTAGGTGATATCCACATCCATAGCCAAGGACATGATTGGGGGATTCATATTAACACACTTCGCATACCACCTTATTTATAACAAATGCCCCTTCAACGCACAGGTTACCATATGACATTTTATAAGCAAAAAACATAAACTCAATCTAAAGGACATAAATAAACAAATAAATACTTCACTCGACCTTTGGCGCCAACTCTCAAACATGTTACTGTCTCCTCCCCTTCCTCCCTCCCCAGACTAAAGTTAGGGGAATATAATTTGCATTGCTGGAATCCTTGCAAGACAGCGAATAATTTGAATATAAACATCATATATTTTCCACAACAGATAAAAATTAATCACCTGTTTCACATTACAGTACAGTGGTCCCTCGGTTAACAAAATTTAGGTTAACATTTACCTTCCATAAGAATCTTCAATTCGGTTAACGAACAAAAATTCGATTAACGAAATCCTTACGAACATCAAGTTTTGTTGTGAGCATCAGCTGATGGGCTAGTCTGCCAATTCAGTAATTCAGTAATCTGTTCTATGTTTACATTCGTTTCCAGTGGAGTAAATATCAAGAAAATTGTGCTCTTTAATATTTTTGCATTTTTTATATTAAAATTATTAGTCATTCTAAAATTTAGCCGTCCAAGCTCTGTCTACATAAAGTTTTTCAACTATTATTTTTGGCTCAATATATGTAACTTTATTCATTTATTGAAACTCATTTACATGCATACACTGTCCTAAGGGCAAAGCTATATGTACATGTAATCAAAATAATGTACAAAATGAATACTAAAATCTTAGTCTAGTGCAAACTATTGCATGTTTACATTCAAATTAATCACTATCGTATAAGAATTCATCAATGTAAGTTATATTCTCCCCGGTCACTTCTATGAAATTTTATAAGCAAAAACAAAATCTCAATCTAAAGGACATAAATAAACAAATTAATCCTTCACTAGACCTTCGGAGCTAACTGTCAAACATGTCACTGTCACCCCCCCCCCCCTCCCAGCAAAGGTTTGGTGGTTATACAGTAGGCTTTAAGTTTTTATCTTATATAATATCACAGACTAAAGTTAGGAGAATATACAGTGGTCCCTTGGTTAACGAGCGCCTCGGTTAACGAGATTTCGGTTAACGATTTACCTTCCATAAGATTCTTAACTTCGGTTAACGAGCAATCCCTCGATTAACAAGTTTTTTACGAGCTGACTTCAACATGTTTTCGCTTGCATTTGGCGGTCCACCAGCTGTAGTATTAGTCCGCCAATACAGTAATCGGTTTTAGGGCTTAAATTCCTTATTATTTTAGTAAATATCAAGAAGTTTATATTATTCAATAATTTTAAAAGTTTAATATTAACTTTTATAGTCATTTTAACAATTAATGAACATAATTGAAGGTAAAGAAACTAGTTTCTGGCGTGCCATCCAGCCTGTTAACACACCAGACAGGCGTTAGTCTCTCTCTGTTTTCAGTGGAGGTAACATCTTGCTTGAGACTCTCTTCAACTAAACGCTTTTTTTCTGTGTTTCCAGTCAAATTATTGGTCACTTTGAAATATATTTAACATATTGATAATATATAGCCCAGTGCAATGTTGATTTAAAGAAAATAATCTTGAAATACACCAAGAGAACTAAAATTTTAAGGGTGAAATGGTGCCATGGGGTGACTTCTCTTCCACCCCAATGCCTTCTCTTCTTCCTTCTCCTCCACCCCCATTCTAATTCCCATCATCATCATCATCATCCAGGAGCCTTCTACATACACACCTCAAAGTAAGTGTATTTTTCTACCTTTTTTGTTGAATTTAGGCAATTTTCGGTGAGCTGGAACCAATTACCCAAAAACCCATTGAAACATGGTTTCGGTTAACGAGTTTTTCGGTTAACGAGCAACCTGCTGGAACGGATTGTGCTCATTAACCGAGGGACCACTGTAATTTGCATTGCTGGAATCCTTGCAAGACAGTGAATAATTTGAATATAAACGTCATATATTTTGCATATATTTTGGGTAGATTTACATAAATTTCTTCATTTATTTTCATTCATTTACATGAACACACCATACTAAAAGAAATGTAAAAAGAAATAAATTACCTAAGTGCAAACCTGTACTGTACATGTACTAAATGATAACGGTACTAAAATTGTTACGACTAGTGCAAATTATAGCTTGTTTATATTCAAATTAATCATTACTATCTTACAAAATCCAGGTCGTAAGTCGAAATGGTCGTAAGTCGGAAATGCTAAAATATTACATAGAAAATCGAAAATGGGTGTCACCTTTTCTTCTTAGCACCACAAAACACTTACTTTTAAGCTTGCCAACCATTTTAAAGTGAATTACATACGAAAATTTTGTCTGTGTACCGACTTTGGGACTCGAAAATATGTAATTTTACCAAATTTTGGTACGACTGAGGCAGGCGGTAAGTGCGGGTGGTCGTAAGTCAAGTAGGTCGTAATTCGGGGAGGATCTGTATACTGTATATATATAATTTGGAGACGCTAAAACCGGGTACCAATTAGTCGCTAAACTTCAGATGCTACTGAACTGTAGTCAAAGATTGTACAAAAATAGATAAACGACTGCTTTTTAAACAATTACCGTACAAACACTTTGCAGGCCAATATTGCTGCACAGAGGGTGGCACAAATGTGTGGGGTGGATATCAAGATAAAATTTAAAGGGCTCACTCACTCAGCCTTCTAGCTTCACTGCTTTGACAATACTGATGTCTTATGGTCGGCGTGCTAAGGATTGTTGCCTAACCAATTAGTGATGGATTATCACGAGAGGAAGCCTACCAAAATTTTATGCATCAATCAAATTACCTGTATTTGTAATTTTTTTCTCTTCAATGATGCTTTGGGGTGTCAGTGCCAAATGGACAAACTTATCATTGATGCCTATATGCATCACTGTGTACAAGTGTTAACTCTCAAGTTATAATTACAAAGGCTACTCAAAACATCAAATACAAATGCAGGAATGACCAGTTTAGTGGCCTTTTTTTCTATGTTATGAGCTCATGATGCAGCCAAGTGTTCACTCATATCAATAAAGATTAATCAAGAGATGAGAAAGAACTGAGAAGAAAATCAGGAATGCTGTCCCCAGTCATCTCCAAATATTCAAATCACGGCAGTGAGGAAAGAAAACTTTTTCTTATCCCTACATCATTATCTATAGAATATGTGAAGGCCATGAGCATGGCCATAGATTCTGAGTGGGGATGAGGGGGATGCATTCCATCCTACAATCAAGGTGGGAGATTTCCTATATAATTATCCCCCCCTACAATTCAGATAATTAAAAAAAAATGTGAGAATTTTGTTTTCATCATTTTGCTGTTTAAGAATCATTCTGAGTGATAGGGTGGTTTGAGGTAAATGTTCAGTGTTAGTTTAAAATTTAATCCTGACAGTGAGGTCAGTTAAGGTCAACCTTCTTGCATGTCAGCAACACTTGTCAACTCAGTCATCATCAATCCCCTCCTCTGAAATGTGACAGCTAGTAACATTATGGTCAACCTGCCTCAGGTCACAAAGGCTGACACAACAATGTTGTTAATGCTGACACCATGAGTCAGCCTTTCAGGATATATAATAGGGTAGCCCCAGCAAGTTGTATCAGTTTTAGGAGACACATCATAACGGGAACTTGTATATTTACCTACTTCACTGGAAAACTTCAGATTATAAGGTATGAAATAATCAAAATAATTCTGTAAAAAGCATTATACCTTTTAAAATAGTGTAGATGATGTATTTATTTATAAATAATTTAGTGGACCATTTCTACAAGTCTCAAAAATCATCCCCAGTTCAGTCACAATGGCCATGAAGGAAAGAGGCATTTGCCAGATGGTTGCGTAGGGACTATCTGTTATGTAGCTTGGTTAAACAACAAACAGGAGAATAGATATAATCATTGGTTTATCATAAAAATACCTTTCTTAAAACTAACAAAAATTTCAAATAAGAAAATTTTAAGTTGTCACACAACTATTACTATCTTTTTTTTTTATGTTGATATACTTAAGTGACATAGTGCCACTGATAATATGTACAGGTACTGTCCCTAAAATGAGTTACAAAATAAAAAAACTTACCCTCATAAAGTCTCCTCCTTGAATCATGAAGTCCTTGATAACACGATGGAAACAAGCACCCTTATATCCTATGGGAACTCCATCCTTACGGTACTCTCCAGTACAAAACTGGCGGAAATTCTCGCTTGTCTTGGGACAAACATCTGCGTACAGTTCCATTATCATTCGTCCAATTTCCTGGAATTAATTTGAATTTTAATAAACAACTGTCTAAAACAAAATACAAAATACCAATCAGTGATTGAGGGGAAATCCCATTTTATGACAAAAGGGAAATGTTAAAAATCCAATAGCTATTTACTCCATTTCTAAAACTTGAGGATATTTCACCATAGAAAATATATGCTTTCTTACCTCGTGAAAAGCCCAGAAGTGAACGAGAAAAATGTTTTGTAAAGTGCTGTATTATTTATTACAACTGTCTCCATCCTTAATATTTTTCTACAATTGGGAGATTGGAGCAACACCACCACACATATTTTGCTTAATATAATAATAATAATAATAATAATACAGTAATAATAGTATAGTAATAATACAGTAAAAATAATAATAATAATACTTATTCAGTTAAACTGCCATACATGTTTACAACGGGATCAGCATCTTTATAAACAATGCAGTTATACAGCTCAGCATGAACACACAGGAGTACTGTACTGTACTGTACTGTACTGTACTGTACTGTACTGGGGCAGCATACTCAAAACACCTCATCAGTTACATATAGTAGCAAAGATACAGTCCTGTATCTCACAGACTCCTTACAGTCCCGTAAATTTCCCATACTCAAAATTGATTTACAGGGTCTGAAAGCAGTTCGTAACTTTGGTGTTTATCCTGTAAATTTAGTTCTCTTGTCCGAAGGTAGATGGCGTTGCAAGAACTTTTTGGCCAATCGTCGTTTAGTTAACAAAATCATCAACTAATCACAAGAGAAGAAGAAATCAGCTGATATCGACGCATGTGATAGTTGCTAGACATGCACACTGCAAGGTCATTAGTGAAGATGGAATTGTGTTTAAGTAATACTTGAGGACAATGATTAACAAATGACAAAAAAAAAAAAAAAAAAAATTGAGGATTTTGAAAGTTATCTTTGAAGTTTCACTTAACGCGTTTTTATCATGGGCACGCCGTGCTCTACAGAGCTGAACTTTCTACTAACACTTGATTTTTTTCCACATTTTTTCCACATAAGCAATGCAGTGTCCGACGAGACGCTGGCTTTAGATTTGCCCCACCCTCAAACACCCTGCCTGACTGCTCAAGCCAGCTCAGCAAAAATCTCATGCCAAATTTTGTCAGAATATAATTCTTACATTGCTGAATTTTATAATTTGGTGGATTATTTGAATATAAAAACATCATATATTTTTATATTTCAAACATACAATTTTTAGATAAAAATTTTTCTCTGAGTAACTATGTTATCTTTTGTGCAAAATATATGACATTTATATTCAAAATATTCCTGGTCTTACAAGGAATCCAGCAATGTCAATTATATTATCCTAACTTTAGTTTGAGATATTATTTATTACAAAAAAGTTAAGTATTCTGGTTTTCCCACACATCTCCTTGGGACGGGGGGTGGGGGGGAGGGAGGGACGACCGACCATCTGTTACCCTGTGAAGAATTTTTTTTTTTCTATTAACTGAAGATATTTGTTTTAGCTCATAAAATTCATACAAATTACCCGGTCAGAATATAATTTACATTGCTGGAATTCTTATACTTTGATGATCATTTTGAATATAAACATCATATATTTTGCATTACATACAAATTTTAGATAAAATGTTTTCTGAGTAACTATGTTATCTTTTGTGCAAAATATATGACATTTATATTCAAAATATTCCTGGTCTTACAAGGAATCCAGCAATGTCAATTATATTATCCTAACTTTAGTTTGAGGAATTATTTATTAAAATTTAGTGGTTATCCCACACATCTCCTTGGGACGGTTGGTGGGGGGTGGGGGGAGGGAGGGAGGGACCGGACCGACCGACCATCTGTTACCCAGTGAAGAATTATTTTTTTTTTATTAACTGAAGATATTTGTTTTAGCTCATAAAATTCATACAAATTACCCGGTCAGAATATAATTTACATTGCTGGAATTCTTATAATTTGGTGATCATTTTGAATATAAACATCATATATTTTGCATTAAACATACAATTTTTAGATAAAATTTTTTCTCTAGGTAACTATGTTATCTTTTGTGCAAAATATATGACATTTATATTCAAAATATTCCTGGTCTTACAAGGAATCCAGCAATGTCAATTATATTATCCTACCTTTAATCTGAGGTATTATTTAATACTAAATGTTAAAAACTCTGGAAGGGAGGATTGGTGGGGGGTGGGGGGAGGGTTGGGACTGACCGCGCGGTTGGAAGAGGGGGGGAGGCAAGGTGGGGTACTTTGATTGACAGATAGTGTCGTGAAGATTATTTTTTTTTATTATTAACTGAAGATATTTGTTTTAGCTCATAAAATTCATACAAATTACCCGGTCAGAATATAATTTACATTGCTGGAATTCTTATAATTTGGTGATCATTTTGAATATAAACATCATATATTTTGCATTAAACATACAATTTTTAGATAAAATTTTTTCTCTAGGTAACTGTTATCTTTTGTGCAAAATATATGACATTTATATTCAAAATATTCCTGGTCTTACAAGGAATCCAGCAATGTCAATTGTATTATCCTAACTTTAGTTTGAGGTATTATTTATTAAAATTTAGTGGTTTTCCCCAAAAAATTTCTCTGAGAGGGAAGAGCCGGCAGTGTAGTGTGAGAGGGGGAGGGAGTCGAGTCCATTATTTGAATGGACATTAACTTGGCGACTGTATTTCTCTATTTCTCTTAAGTATTAATTGTGTGCATGTACCATCATAAAATTAAGATGTTATTTTTACTACAACATAGGTATGTGCCTTCAAAAAGTGGAGTTTGGGGGTTGGGCCGGTTTCTATTGGAATTAATCCCATATGTTCTGTTGTTCACTTAATGCGGATTTCACTTAGCACGGGACCCTCTGGGTTCTATTGACCGCGTTAAGTGGGGTACAACTGTATATATATATATATATATATATATATATATATATATATATATATATATATATATATATATATATATATATATAAATATAAATATATATACAGTAAATATATATAAATATATATATATATATATATATATATATATATATATATAAATATATATATATATATATATATATATATATATATATATATATATATATATATATATATATATATATATAATAACCACAAGGAAAAAGAAAACACGAAATTTCGGTTAACGAATTACCTTCCATAAGAATCTTCATTTCGGTTAACGAACAAAAATTTGGTTAACAAAATTCATACGAAAATGTTTCGACATGCTTTGGCTTGCTCACCAGCTGGAAGATTAGTCCGCCAATACAGAAATCGGTTCTAGGGCTTACATTCGTTAAAATTGAAGTAAATATCAAGAAGGTTGTACTATTTAATAATTTTCCAAGTTTTATATTAAAATTTTTAGTCATTTTAACACATATTTAACATAATTGCAGTACAGGGAACTAGTTTTTGATGTGCCCATCAGCCACTTCACTGACCCACCAAGGCCTCAATTTGTATCTCTGTTCAGTGGAGGAAACATCTTGCTTGTGGGTCTCTTGAACACAGAGTATTTTTACATTTTTGCAGTACAATTACCGTATAGGTCACTCTGAAATTTATTATCATATTGACAATATATAAGTGCAGTGCAGTGTTGATTTAAAGAAAATAATCTTGAATTACACCTAGTGAACTTAAAATTTGATGGGTGAAATGACGGCATCAAGCATGGGGTGATTTCTCTTCCACCCACACTTCCTTCTCTTCTCCCTTCTTCTCCACCCCCACTTCTAATTCCCATCATCATCATCATCAACCAGCTCACCGAAAATTACATACAAATTAAAAAAAATGCAGTTAAGTACACTTACTTTGAGGTGTGCATTTAGAAGGCTCCTGGTTGATGATGATGATGGGAATTAGAATGGGGGTGGAGGAGAAGGGAGAAGAGAAGGCATTGGGGTGGAAGAGAAGTCACCCCATGCTGCCGTTTCATCCTTAAAATTTTAGTTCACTTGGTGTAATTCAAGATTATTTTCTTTAAATCAACATTGCACTGAGCTATATATTATCAATATGGAAAATATATTTCAAAATGACCAATAATTTGACTGGAAACACAGAAAAAAAGCATTTATGTTGAAGAATCTCAAACAAGAAGTTCCTTCCTCTGAACCTGTAAACAAATTGACGCCAAGCTTGGTGTGTTGAGTGGCTGTACTTCAATTATGTTCAATAATTGTTAAAATGACTAAAGAATTTAATATAAAACTTTAAAATGATTGAATAGTACAACCTTCTTGATATTTACTAAAATGGTATGGAATTTAAGCCCTAGAACCGATTACTGTATTGGCGGACTAATACGACAGCTAGTGAGCAAGCGAAAACATGTTGAGGGGCGCTCGTAAGGAATTCGTTAATCGAGGGATTGCTCGTTAACTGAGGCGCTCGTTAACCAAGGGATCACTGCGTGTGTGTGTGTATTATAAAAATGCCGTAATTTCACTGTGTTTTATAGTGGACACTGTCGTAGTTTGTGCAAATGCGTTAAAAAGTTGGTTATTTCTAGATTAAACCTAACCTAACCTCAGTTAATATGAAAAACAAGCAGCAGATGCACTGTTAGAAGACCTCACCTACTTAACCAAACAAACCTACCTAACCGTACCTAACTTGCTAACCTGACTCCGGCATATGAAACAGAAAGAAACTACTATGATGTGGTGCAATTTTACGTTTTTTTTTAACATGAGAGCAGCCGTCTGTACCAAACGGTTCTTAACCCTTAGGCCCCAGGTGACGTTCCAGAATGTCTGCCTATTCCCACCACTTTAAATGCCCAGCGCAGGTTACCAGGTTCCAGTGTGACTATTTGCCTGTCACATCATACGCTGGGCCACAGGGAAGCTTCCTGAACATAATTACCCACTTTTGTTTGTTTCAGTTTCATTGTTTGTAATTTTATCATGCTGTATCAAAGTAATATTGCACAAAGTATGGAGTTGTATTGTACTGTAGTGTAGTATTACTGTAAAACAATGCTATGATTATGTTATAAATGTATTTATTTGTGGAATTATTATTATTTTATGCATTACTTGCTCTACCAAACACAAAGACAGCCAGGCAGACTGGCAACAGACTGCGTGAGTATTGCCAAGCACTTTTTATGAAAAATAATGCAAATAAAATATTCTAAATGAATTATTTAAAGCAAATAATTATTAAGTTCAGTAAATACATACATTATTGGCCACCTCGGACACAAAGGCGAGCTAAACATAGCTGCTAAGTGAGTAAGGACCATGAGTGTCAGCTATCAAACCAACACTGTCTCCTTATCTCCTCCCTCTGCACGGCCAGGGAAGTTTCCAAAGGGTCAATATATAGTTTTTCTTACTTATTTTTTATTGTTTTATAATTTAAAAAGGTGAACAAAATTTTTTGGGAAAAGTTGATTTTTCTCGATTTATCCCCGCGGGAGGGGGAGGGGTACTGCCAGTGGCACCCTAACCCGGGGCTTAGGGTTAAGCATCACTGAGCATCTGCGTTGATCAAGCCCGGGCGGCAGTGTTTTTTGAAATGTAAATATGGTTGGCTGTTTACATCTGGGATGAAACGTTACCTCCGCATTACCACCGAGAAGACAATTTAATGAGCGCCTTAGGTACCTAATTATCTACCAAACGAAGCACTTGCACAAGAAATGATTATCATATCAGAACTCACTGATGAAAATTAACTAAGAAAATAAACAGCAAAACAAATAACTCATCCATGGGTCACTCCTCAATATTAACCATAATAATGCCTAAAAAGAAAAAAGGAAAAATACATTGCTCAACTAAAAAAAATCTAACCTAACATAGAATGAATGGTGAAATTGTAGATTACAGCAACCAAAGAAGTTTATATAAAAAAAAGGGGTCAATTTGTAGTATCACACAGGTCTTTATTTCGATATTAAAAATAGGTTTTTGCCCAATGTATTTTGATGAGTTTGGAACGAATTTGATATTCATTTACACCGGAAATCACGTGTTTTTTTTAGATCTCCGCCCCCCCACCCAACAATCATAACGGAAAAGTTAGTTTCTTTTTTAGAATAAATAACAAATTATTTTGCCAACCAACCAAGAAAACCTAGACTAACCTAACCTAACCTAACCAGGACCCTGGAGCTATGTGTGAGCAGGGGATCAGACCACCTCCACCATAAGTAAACAAATTATGGCAAAACTTGTGACTAAGCAAAAGTTATAATCTTGAAAATTAATACCTCGGTTATCCTTAATTTCCGGCAGATATATCATAGAAGAAAAGTGTCTTAGAATTGTGTAAACATTACGAGATACATATTTTTATTAATAAGGAAATAAAGACCGGTGTGATACTATAAATTCACCAAAAAATGTTTTACCTAACCTTATGTAATATAAGAAAATGATAGAAAAATAGTTCTATCGAATGAGTGTTGTGAATTTCTGGAATTCTGTGGTTGCTGTTTATTGCAATATCACCGAATGAATACCTTAATTAGCAGTGGAGTCCAGGGGGTATTGTTTCACTTTCAACTAATATGTAGCAGAAGATTTTTGACTGGAAAAATGAATAGATCTCGTCGAGAGCTATCTTCTGAACCCTACCGGTACATTTACTTGTCAATAGCTCTCGACTAGATCTATTAATTTTTCCAGTCAAAAACCTTCGGCTACATATTAGTTGAAAATACACAATACCCACATTTGCATTTGTCAGTATTAAAAGGGTTACTAGATTAAAAAAAATAAAAAAAAACTTATTCTGAGCAGAGAGAGAAACCTGTACACAAGGGGAAAACGTTTAATGAAAAACGTTCAAGTTCAGGCATTACTACCGTTACGTTTCTTAAAACAAATGTTGATATTATTATACATTACCGTTTGTCCAACTGTTATATCAAAGAATACAACAGGATTATTAGCATGCCTTAGCTGCTGCTGAATCTGATTCCATGTGGGCATTCTGGGAGGTGATTACTTGAAAATGTTATAATTTATGTTCACACAAGTTTAAAGTGTACGCGAGGTTTGTTGTTGGTGTTGAGCAGTCAGCTGTCCAGTGTCAACAGCAGTGTTGCCATCTACAAATTTACATTCCCGCTGTATAAAACTCCAAACCACGCTAGATTTGACCCCTAACCGCTAGATAATAGCATGTGTTACCATCTTTATATATACCGTATATAGATATATAGACAATTAAACTGATTAATATATATATATATATATATATATATATATATATATATATATATATATATATATATATATATATATATATATATATATAAAGTATGGTACATAGAAGTACTGTATAGCTAATTAACACACCGGTGGGCATAATATCACAAAAGTAATATTTTTACTTTTACTTGTATCCTCTTTACCACTGATCGGCTCGTTAGCCACTTGGGCGATCGGTCACGTTGTAGTGGATTCCTTCCCTACAAGCACCGAACCTTCTCGAATTCCCCAGCCTACGCCTCTTTTCTCCCTCAGGTACCCCCTGCTACTGTCCTGCACCCTGCTGCTGTCGTGACCCTGCTGCTGTCATGCAACCTGCTGCTGTCATGGACACTCTTCCTAACGCAGCCCCTGCTCCTGACCCAGGCCCACACACCCCAGCAGGCGCATCTGAGGACTCTGTACCTGTCGCGAGGGAAGCACAACATTCATCGCCTCCACAACCCTCTTTCTCCCTCTTTTCTCCCACAGATCTCGTGTATCTACAGTAGACAGAGTTGCCCCCCCCCCTCCCTAGCGGCCGGCTCATCCACGCCCTAGCCGTTATGTCCCACATGTGGCATGCACCGCCCGTTCTGCCTCACATGTGACACGCAACTCTGCCAACCTCCAGCCTCCCGCCGCGCCCGGAGGGAAAGGGGAGTATTGTAGTGGATTCCTCCTCTACAAGCACCGAACCTTCTCGAATTCCCCAGCTTACGCCTCCAGCGCCGCCCACGGAGCGGGAGACGACTATCTACTCACGCCTATCCTCGCCTTATAAGGCCTGACACCGCTGTGACCAGCCTCTTTCTACTCAGTGCCACAGCCAAGCAACACCTCCTCCTCCGCGCCAGCCTGGCGGCTCCCGCACCCTCGCCACCTTGGCGTCCCTCGTCGCGTGCCCTCTTCTGGCATCCTCACCAACCAGCTCTCTCTACATCACGCTTGTAACCACGCTGCCACTTCCCAGCACCAAGCTGCACTGTACATCCAATACAATATGTATACAGAGAGCACATTGTGAGTTTCCTTTCTCCATCCCATCCTGAGTGTGAACAAATATCTCATTACCCCACAGGCTAATCCCCGTATAAGAAAAAAAAAATGTCACATTGCACTTTGTTTGCTTATCAAACTTGTTACTTTACTAACAACTGATTATGAATTTGCTTACTTTGAAGGTTGTTTGGTTAGTTATTTGGTTACTATATCAATAATTATTTTCTTTTGTAATATATTATATTGGTAAAGTTGTTTGGATTAATAACTTGTAAGAATGATAATATTGTTTGTTAAATTATCTTATATTTTTTTATTAAATTGACAATGTGTTCTGATTCACCTGTTTAGCTAGTTAGTTAATAAGCTCTTCCTCCCTATTACCAGTAACATACGTAGCGAGTGTTACTGGGCGTTTATACTCCTCTGCCAACCACACGTATAATCAAACACCGGGTGGTTAAACTCCTCTGCCAACCACAAGGACTGTAAACATATAGGGTGAGATTTTTGTACACATGACATCCACTAGAGGTGATTGGACTGTAGTGGATCTCTCCCCGACAACTGCGTATCCGTATTCCAATGCATTCCAATACGACAGTATCCTAGCAACCAGCGAGCTGCTTTGGGGTCGCCACCTGCTACGTCTACCCTAGCAACGGAGTCAAGCAACCGGCGAGTTCCCACGGGTTTACTTCCGGCTGCTGTGTATATAAGCTCTCAGTCTCTCCATTGAGATGGATTCTGCCCTAAGTTCCTGAACACGCAACACCACCTCTGAGCAAGCTCCTTGCTGACCAGCTCTCATTCTACCCTACGTTCCTGAACACGCAACACCTCCTCCGAGCAAGCTCCTCGTTGTCCTCCAGCTCTCATTCAACCTGGAGGACAGCAACACGCAACATCTCCTCTAACGAAGCTCCTGCACAGATACCTCCTCAAGCACGCTACTCACTGAACGTGTCTCTTGAGCAAGCTTCTCGCCACACGGCATCTCCAGCACCAGACTGTCTTGTATATAATATATTTTATATAAGAAAACCACCACCTAGAGTTTCCTTCCATCCATCCTGAATGCTAGACAACATAATATCACGTAACCCTACAGGACCATCAGGAGACTGTTAGTCACACCCAGGTTCTCTCTGTGGCAAATGATAAGAAAACTCTGATACGGTTGTTGATTTTAGATTCAGCATTTCAGTTTTTAAATTTTCACTGGAAACTCACACACCCTCCCTCACTCTAACACCCATCTCATTATTTCTCTCCATCCTCTCAACCACACACCCTCCCTCACTCTACTATCCATCTCATTATTTCCTTCCATTCTTTATTCACACACACCCCCTCACTCTACCATCCATCTCATTATTTGAAATAATGAGGGAGGGTGAGAGGATGGAGGGAAATAAATTTCCCTCCATCCGCTCACCCACACACCCTCCCTCACTCTACCATCCTTCTCATTCTCAGCCTTCATCCTCCCATTGTGATGGGATCTAGGTAGTTAGCTCTTTCAAGAAAATTATTTAATATATGTTTGTTCATTCTTTTTCATCTTATATGTGTTATGTTATGTTTGTTTGTGATATGTATTGTTGTACTGTCGGTTATATAGTGTATTGGTGTATTGTAAATTATGTATTGTTTGTGTCAATGTTTACATCCTTGTAGTGAGTAATAAACAAACTGACAACTCTGTTTGGTTAGTTGGTAGGCCTACCAGTAGCAGTCACTCACCCCCCTGTCTTCCTGATGTGCTGTTGTTCCTGACTGTCTCTGACCTGCGCTATGTTATACTGCCAGATTCTGGGGTCACTAATTCTAAGGGGACAGTATGTAGCTCGTTAGGTAGCGGGCTGAGTAAGCTAGACATTGGATTGAGTTTTTCATTGACCAAATCGATAGTGGGAAGAAGGGTGAAACATCAAGCATGTCTTAACTAATTTATTCCTTACAAAACATATTGCATCCCGCCAAAATACAAGAAGAGTTGGCCTTCCTCAGGAGCACAATTATGATTTACGTTATACTGCACAACAACACACGTCTTACATCAACTGCGTGTCATTAACATACACATACTTCATAACAATCACTGACCTTACCTCGGTCATTCCTTCTCACTATAACACCAAATACATCAGACTGCACCACCTGTTAGAGTATAACATCACCTGTTACATTACAAAAAGAGTTGGCCTTCATCAGAAGAACAATATTATTTTCATTACACTTCTCTTGATGAGCAGATGGGATACTTCCCAGGTAATCATACCAGTATTGGTTCCACGCCTGGTATTAGGAAGTCGCTCCACATAGTGACCGCGAAACTTCTCAAGTATACAATGATTTTCTCCTATCCTGGTTGGTGATATGTAGGGTATCCACAGATTCACAGTGGAGGTGCATGACCACTGTGAGCAGACGCACCCCACATGGTGCATTCCTCAGTGGTGGTCCTGGCTGACGCTCGTGTGGTACCTGTGCTGGTGAAAGGGCTGGCGTCACTGAGAATGATGCCTGAGGGGCTTTCATCACCACACACTAGTACACTATGACTTCACTTTATAACATCAGGCAAGGTTTTAAGATGTAAAAACTGCTAGATAAGTCTTTTTAGGGCTGAATAAAGCACGATGAAGGGCACCAGACTGGTGCCTGCACTTCGGCACCTCAGCTACCCTGAGAGATTGGAGCGCCTGAACTTGCCTATCTTATACTACAGACGGGCAAGGGGGGACCTAGTTGAGGTGTATAAGCATCTCAGGGGGCACTACTCAGTTGAGTGTCCTTACTTGGAGCTGGCGGACGCTCGCCCCACAAGGGGTCACAGCTCAAGACTGAAGAAGCTGCAAGTCCAGAAAACCGCGAGGGCAAACTTTTTCGGAGTGAGGGTTGTAAACTCTTGGGACTATCTACCAGAGAGTGTTGTGACGGCACCGAGTGTGAGCTCTTTCAAGACAAGACTTGACCAACACTGGAGCGGGTTCAGGTACATTCAGGAGCCGGTGCATGCCCAGTATTTGCCAACAGTGCGTCACAGACGTGACCGATCGCCCGGGCTGCTAGCGAGCCGATCTTTTGGTGAAGAAGATAAATGAAAAGGAAAAGTTGGTGAGAGGGCGGGCGTCACTGAGGGCGATGTCCCGCGCCTCTCACTGACTTAGGCCTACAGTTTCCAATCTTTAATTTTCACTTTGATTTCTTATGGTTCTCACATGAACACTTTCCTATTTATTGTGACTTTATGCCTTATAAATACATTTCCTACTCCTAAATTACACACTAAGGTAAGGATCTGGTTAGACAGTTCCTGGGGAAATTTATTGGGCGATATCATTAACTCAAAACTGTAGTCCGGAGCGGAATGGACATCACATCGAACAAAACCTAGTATCGCATTTTCATGTCGTGGGTATGTCCACTTCACTTCAATCTTATTTAGGAATCCTCACATGTTGCAATCGTTGAACACATGAGATTAACTGATCATTGCATTGTTCGTTTATATTATCATCTGATACCTGCGGTAGTTATGATCACTAATCGTACAGACGTAAATAGAATCACTAGTCCATATCAATTGGACCTTCCCAATCATCCTATAGATACCTTGAGTTCTTCTTAATGTTATGAGTACATACACTTAGTATTATATGACCGTACCTGGGTACAATTCGTATAGAACTAACATCAACATTCAGTAGGTGAGTTATCCTTTATCAACGTTTCCCGTTTTCTGAGATTTGAATGTTATGTAGCGTAATATGAATTAAAGAGTTTTTAGGGATGACAATGATGTGCGCAGTACAGTGTATGCACATCCGGCGTCTCTGA